TCATGACTAAAGACTGCATGACTAAAGACTGCATGATCACAGACTGCATAAATAAAGACTGTTGGACTAAAGACTGCACAACCAAAGACTCATGACTAAAGACTGCATGACTAAAGACTGCATGATCACAGACTGCATAAATAAAGACTGTTGGACTAAAGACTGCACAACCAAAGACTCATGACTAAAGACTGCATGACTAAAGACTGCACGACCAAAGACTCATGACAAAAGACTACACGACTAAAGACTGCATGATCACAGACTGCATAAATAAAGACTGTTGGACTAAAGACTGCACAACCAAAGACTCATGACTAAAGACTGCATGACTAAAGACTGCACGACCAAAGACTCATGACAAAAGACTACACGACTAAAGACTGCATGATCACAGACTGCATAAATAAAGACTGTTGGACTAAATACCGCATAGATAAAGACTGTTCGACTAAAGACTGCTGGACAAAAGACTGCATGACTAAAGACTGCATGACCAAAGACTGACTAAAGACTGTTTGACTAAAGACTGCACGACCAAAGACTGCATGACTAAAGACTGCACAACTAAAGACTGCACAACCAAAGACTCATGACAAAAGACTACACGACTAAAGACTGCATGATTACAGACTGCATAGATAAAGACTGTTGGACTAAATACCGCATAGAAAAAGACTGTTGGACTAAATACCGCATAGATAAAGACTGTTGGACTAAAGACTGCTGGGCAAAAGACTGCACGACCAAAGACTGCATGACTAAAGACTGACTAAAGACTGTTTGACTAAAGCCTGCACGACCAAAGACTGCACAACCAAAGACTCAAGACTGCACGACTAATGACTGTTGGACTAAAAACTGCATGACAAAAGACTACACGACTAAAGACTGCATGATCACAGACTGCATAAATAAAGACTATTGGACTAAAGAGTGCATGACTAAAAACCATTTGACTAAAGACCGCACGAACAAAGATTGTTAATCGCGATCATGAGGGGAACCAGCTGCAGATTTCTAGAGGATTATGTTGATCTGGTCTGACCAGAAAAACCTGACTGGTTCTGTCCAGCTTAGAGCTCAGTCACTGAGACCATAAACCCAATGAAGATTGATAGAAAGGTGGAAGACTTACGTTTCTGCAGAGTTCTGAGGATTTCAGCTCATTCACTCAGTCTGCCTTTATAAACGCTGCTCTGAACCGAACCAGGAACTAAAAGGAAAACTGCTGAACCGACTCAAAACAATAAAGTGATTATTCCTTGGAATAAAAGCCTTGTTCTGCTTTGTGGGTTAAGGAAATTCCAAGGCGGAACGGAGACGTGCTAAAACGCACAAACAGATGTGGATCTTGCAGTTTCTGGGTGTGGGAAGGTCCTCCTCGCAGGAGTTGTGAGCTGATGAAGGTGCTGGTTCACAGCAGCAGTGTGGAGCAGAGACCATGAAGCTAATAAAGGCAAACAGCAACCTGCTTAAGGCTGATCATAAATAAACACTGAAGAATCCTGGGAGCAGAACATCTAAAGCAACTGAGAAGAACAACGGCGTTGCTTCCAGCCTCACAGCAAACACCTCATTCATAGTTTCACTCCAAGAAACACCTTTTTAAGGAATTTAAGAGTTTAAAATCAGTTTAGCTCTAAACTGACCAGTGAAAACTTTCACATCAGTTTGCAGATGATTTGTGAAGCAGTAAGAAGAATCCATCCAAAGGAAAACTGTGATGAGAAAAAGGTTCTAAGATGGACCCAGAAGATCAAACCCCTCAGAGGGAGAAAACTGCCATGGATGAGAGGTTTAGGAGGAGGTGGAGGAGGAGTACAAATCTAGTCCTCCAGAGTGAGGAGCTACATCCTGGCTTATCAGGGAACAGATAGAGACTTTTCCTAGAATGCTTCACATTATTCTATACAATAACAACCCAACATGGAGGGAAGGATTTAAACGGAGGAGGCACATGGAGGAGGCACATGGAGGAGGCACATGGAGGAGGCACATGGAGGAGGCACATGGAGGAGGCACATGGAGGAGGCACATGGGAGAAGG